TATTTTCCCAACAAATTTCAAACAGAAAACTCCAAGTTTGTGCAGGAAAGAGAAAATCTACATACTAATAAGTGATTAAATCACAAAATTTTACTATAACTTATAGGCTAAAGCTTTTTCGGCAAACTCTACAAAGTCTTGATAGAGTAACTTCGGTACTTCCATGGCTGCAAAGTGGCCACCTTCTTCAAGGTTCAAGCCCATTTGCGCCATGTTGAATCATTCCGAATACAAACGCTGCGCTGTGGTTATCGAGTTTGTTATATAGTAGATCATAATGTTATCCAAAAGCTCATCCAGCGTGAAACGTTTAGTCAAACCACCATCTTCAAGTTTTCTGTTTTCAGGATTGGTCCAGGTAGAGAACTTCTCTAGAATGTATGCAGCCAAGCCAACGGGGTTCTGCGAAAGCGCGGCGCCAATAGTATCTGGTTTGGTTGCTTGAATATGTAGATATCCGGTCTATTCCATGATGAACGCAAACTCTTCGCCCAATGGTTTAAAGAAAGCTTTGTATTCGTCTTTTATGAAGTATGATGGCAACAGGTAGCGCACAAATTTATATAACAACGTTAATTGGTGGTTACTAAAACAAAAATTTGAATGATAACCAAGTACATTTTGAGGTCTCAGAGTGGCTATATGCGATCCGATTATGGAACCCCAATCGCCACCTTGTATTAAAAATTTCTCATGTCCTAAACGTAACATCAAATTACGCAAAACCACAGCCATCTGAGCTGGACCAAAGTTAGTCTTTGAGGCGCCCTGAGACCAACCATAACCAGGTAAACTAGGTGCAATCACTTCGAAAACGTAGGCGCTCTTGGGGTTCGGTTTCGTAAGCAGCGGAATAATTTTGTAAAATTCGCGTACAGATCCTGGCCAGCCATGGAGCAGCAGCAGAGGAATCACTTTCTTACCTTCGGTGGATTTTGGATTCACATGAATGTAATGAATACGCAAACCCTGAATCTGTGTCTCAAAGTGCGGAAATTGTTTGAGAAAAGCTTCGCGTTCACTCCACTTGGGCAGGTAATTGTCCCGCCAATATTCGACCACCTTTACAAGGTAATTCGAATTGAATCCATATTGAAAGCCAATTCCTTCTAGTGGCTGATGTAGAACGAGTGGTTGTGACAGCTGTGCTTTGAGATCTTCTATTACATTTGGTTTAACGCTTATATCAAATTTTTTTATGTCGGTATTCTCCTTGTAATTAGCAGCACTCGTATCGCTTAATGCAGGCAGCGGCGCTGAACTTGACAATAAATGAAGCCGATGTACAAAGACGGCCAGGACGACCACGAGGAGTACAAGTAGAACTTTTATTATTGAACCCATTTCGTGTATAGTACTTTAAAACCGACGAGGAAATAGGAGCGTATATATTTTGGAGTATAAATCATACAACTTTTTCAATTACCCTTTAAGTTTTGATTTCAAAAAAAAAAAACTTAAAAAAAAAAACACTGTCAGAGAATAACCAGCCGTGCAAATCGAGTGATAAAGAGAAACTGAATAATAACAAACAACCTTAATCAAATGAATAATAATAATAATAAACAAGTACTTATAAATGAAATTTTTAATGAAAAAAATTAATAATATTACCATGATAGTTAATAGTCTTTTTAATAACATTAGAAAAGACACATACGTAAAAAATGAAACAATTATTAATTTGCAAAATAGAATAAGGCTAATTAAAGAAGAATTAACTAATATTAAATATGCCATACAATGGGCAAAAAAAGATATTTTGAATACATTATTATTAAATAAGGATGAAATTGAAATTGCTTTAGAAAAACTGGAAAACGATGAAATACCATTTAAAAATGCGGAAGAAGCATTAGAAATATCAAATATAAATCTTATTAGCAAAAATATGGCATTATTTTACTTGGTAAAGATACCACTAACAATTAAAGAAAATTTTCAAAAAATTATTGTAAGACCAGTTATTAAACAAAATAAAACTATAATTAATGTCGAATATGAAAAAATATTAGAAGGAACAAAATAAACTTATCGAATAAAGAATTTTTGCGATAGCTATAAGAAAATTGAGATTTGTAAATAGTTAGTCAATATAAGTAATAGTAGTTGTTTACCTAGAATAATTAATAGTTTAAA